GTTTGAATTGAAAAAAGAACAGTGGTTCAGGGTGTATTTCATAAAGCCAGCACTGATCAATAAATCATTTTTAAACATTGCTGATCGGAGACCACAGCGGTCTGTAGGGGGGACACAGATGTGTGTGTGTGTCCATGCAGCGAGTAGAGAGGGTATGAGTGGAGGTTTATGTGTGTATACCAGTGCAGTAGCTATATGGTCTATGCAGTATAGAGTAATGGAGCCTGTTTTAATGACACCTCGGTGACCATGTGTGGGGGGGGGGAGCTGAATACTGACGCACATACACTCTGTGTCTTTGTGCATTCTCCTCTCTTTGTCCCTCTCTCTCGCTGTCACAGCAGTGTTTGTACAGTGTGTTACTGTATGTTTCTGATGTGCCTGCATGTTGCGTGTTGGTGTTTGTGCCTTTGTGCACGTGCGGCTCCATACAGGAGCTGGTATGAGGCTGATCTGCCGCAGAGCTCAGCGTCATTGTTCCCATTTGCCACTTCTACTCTACTCTTCTCTCGTCTTTGTTCTTGTATTTTTTCCTTTTTGCTTGATCTCTTCTTCTCTGCTCTTTCCATTCTTCCCCTTCGTCATCTTTGCTTTTTCTGTTTGTCCCCTTTTTTCTGTTCTCCTCTCTTTTGTTTTCCCGTCCTTTGTTTTGTCCTCGTCTCTCCTTATTTTTTGCTTTGTTTTTTGTCCTCTTTTGGTTGTCCTGTTCTTTCTTTTCTCTTCTGTTTTGTCCTCATCACTTCTCTCTTAACCTTTGTCCTCATTTCCGTTGTTCATCGCTTCTTTGGTCCTTCTTGCTTTTCTTCTCTACGTCCTACTCTTTCTGTTCCTGTCTACTTATCTCTTCTCCCTTGTCTTCTCTTTCTATTCATCTGTCTTTTCTCCTCTCCTCTACCTTTCCTTTTCTTTGTCCTCCTCTTTTCTCTTCGTTGCGTACTCTTTGATGTTGTCCTCCCATCTCTTCTTTTCTGCTGTCCTCATCTTTTCTCTTTTGTCTTTTTTCCTCCTCCTCGTCTCCTTTTTCATTGTCTTTGCTCTTCTCTTCATTCTCCTTTTTCTCTTCTCCTGAATTTTGTCCTCTTCTTTTGTCCCGCCTTGTCTCTTCTTTTTTCTTCTCTTCTCTGCCTCTTCATCTTTGCGTTTACGTATATTCTCTCTATGGCCTTGTCTTCTTTTGTCCTCCCATCTCATCTTCTCCCTTTCCATAATTCCAGTTTGTCTTCTTCCCTCACTTCTGATTTGTCCTCTTTCTCTTCATCTGCCTTTAGTCCTCTTCCCTCCTTCTCTTCTTCTTTGTCCTCTTCTTTTCTTTCTTTTGTCCTTGTCTCTATTCTCTTCTTTGCTTTTGTCTTCCCCTCTCTTCTTCTCTGTTATTTCTCATCTGTTTTGTCCTCATCTTTTCTCTTTTGTCTTTTTTCCTCCTCCTCGTCTCCTTTTTCATTGTCTTTGCTCTTCTCTTCATTCTCCCTTTTCAATTCTCCTGTATTTTGTCCTCTTCTCTTATGTCCCGCCTTGTCTCTTCTTTTTTCTTCTCTTCTCTGCCTCTTCATCTTTGCGTTTACGTATATTCTCTCTATGGCCTTGTCTTCTTTTGTCCTCCCATCTCATCTTCTCCATGTCGCGCTCTTTCCATAATTCCAGTTTGTCTTCTTCCCTCACTTCTGATTTGTCCTCTTTCTCTTCATCTGCCTTTAGTCCTCTTCCCTCCTTCTCTTCTTCTTTGTCCTCTTCCTTTCTTTCTTTTGTCCTTGTCTCTATTCTCTTCTTTGCTTTTGTCTTCCCCTCTCTTCTTCTCTGTTATTTCTCTTCTGTCTTGTCCTCTTTTCTCCTCCCGTCCTTTTGTCCTCTTCTCCTTCCATCTTTTTCCCTCATCATCTTCTGTTTTGTCTCTCCTCCACTCTTGTGTCATCTTCTATTTTGTCCTCATGTCTGTTGTCTTCCTCTCTTTTCTCTTTGTTCTTTTCTGATCATCTCTTATTGTCCTCTCCTCTGGGTGAGATATTATCTCTGATGCGTTGTGACAGGGATGTTAATGGCAGCACTGTACTTTTAATGACCTATATCTCCGGAAATTCCTCTACTACTTCTCGTTTCTCTCTCTCACACACACACACACACCTAAAACCATCAGCGCAGCAGATACACCTGTACACACAGCAGATATGTGGTGTTGTTGTTTCCTCGACAATCGAGAAATAAGATCATTAGATGCGCATACGTGTTTATGCAACTGTGCGTTTGAGCATCAAATAACATTTAACTCGGTTTGACTGTCACTCTGCTGTGTGTGCTGTGATATGACACAAGTGTCAACAGCGAGCGTGTCAGAGAGCGAGGGAAGAGCTCAGCCGGGAAGTGAGGGTGAGAAAGAGTAAGTGAGCAGAAAACGGTAAGCGGGGATGGAAATGATAAGCGGAGAGAAAATGATGAATAAGAGGATGAAAGAGAGAAAGACAGAGGATAATGAGTTATATAGGAAATGAAGGAGGAATAGAGAAACCATGGGCAAGCCAGGACTGAAGAAAAACGAAAGATATAGAGAGAGAACAATGGGAAAAGACTATCAGTTGTACACTGGTGGAGATTATATGTGCAATGATACGAATAGTTTTTCTTTACGTCATTACTACTGTTCTCACTCATTAAGTATATAATAAAACAGACATTTCATATGAAAAGCTATCCATCTAGATTGAAACAATTAGTTGATTAATTAGTCACAGAATATTAATTTGAAACTATTTTGATAATGGATGTAATTCTTTTTTTTTTTTTGGCTAAACATGACAAATATATGTGCAGGTTCTACTTTTCCTTGTCTCATATGATACTAACCTGTAAATTGGGTTTTGGACCATTGGTCAGACAAAACAAGGATACATTGTGATGAGCATTGTTTTCTGACACCACACAATTGTCAGATTAATCAATGATGAAAAACATGTTTTGTTGCAGCCTTACTTCCAGCAGCTCGAGGGGCCTTCCCCCCCCTTTCATGTAAAATATTTGTAGAAAGTGTGCAAACAGGTGAACATTAACAGGTGCTTAACAGCATTACATAGAATGGTAAATGAAAACTGTATTTTTTGTTGAAAAGAGAAACTCCAGCAGCAGCAGGGTCAGTATGACATGGCTATTGTTGTACTGAAACAGTATTGTGGAAAATACTGTGCAGAATTTACCTTGTGAGCCATTACAGTACAGCTAACTCCACTATCTTCCTTTCTTTATTGATTCATAGTTTGTTCATTCATTATTTGAAATCCAACTTTTACATAAAACATTTATTGTATTTCTGCATGTACAGGACGCAAAAACATTTCTCAAGGAATCCCCCTACGCTGTTCTTGTCTGTGCAGCACTTTTTTGTTATATTTGTTGAAATTCTCTTTACATCCCGACAGCAATCAATAAATCAAATTCCCAAAGTCCCAACTCGTCACATATAAAAAAACTGCCAAGCAATCCTTTTATAACAGCTGCGTATGGTTCTTTTTTTGTCAGGTTGTGTAAATCACATAAGAAAGTGTAGTGATGATGAGGTATTGTCAAATATGTAAGTGGAAAGTTTAGGATTGATCGGAGTTCACAAGGTTTGACTTATTCTGACGTTTTCACAACTCGAGCCACTTCAAAGCCAGGTGCAGTGTGTATTTGATGTATATGTACTTTACAAGTTGAAAATACAACCTCTTAAGCTCCATGTGTTCATACCTCCATCACTTCATATCCACCTTCTCTGTCCTCCACCATCACAATACATCCTGCATTAGCTGAGCAGTTTGCATTGTAATCCTTAATTGGAAAATCCTCTCTTTCTCCTCTCGTCTTCTTTTCTCTTGTCTAATTGATTCCCAATAGTGGAAGGTATACCAGCTGCTGCAGCTAGCGGGCTGTAATCAAATCCTACATGTTGCTTAACCATTTTTCTTCCACTCCAGCTGATTAGCAGTTGTCAGGCTACACATGCACAATATTTTACGTTTTGGTAGATACCTGATTATTTTCATAGTAAACATACATCTCTGGAAAACTGTTTGGATGCCAGTTTTCAGAGAATGAAGGACAAGTGGCAGATATGTGTGTGCGTGTGTATATGTGACATGCCATTAGCTTGTGGCATGGGAAGTTTTGACCTGAACATGAACTCAAAAATGACATTTACAAGGCATTTACCCTGCTGTGTGTGTGTGTGTGTGTGCATGTGTGCTGGTTTTTCAGGCAGCAGTACACACTCCCTACAGGGCACACACACACACACATAGTTACACAAAGTCTGGTTTATCTGTTTAGATGGATGGATTGCAGAAATTGCTAAGTAAAGGCTCTTGTATACGTGTTTCATTCGTTCTTTTAATATTCATTTGGGAATCCAAATTCGTCCACAGACGGAACACAAATCGGACACAATATATGTTGAAATCAAATTTGGTCCGTGGCCCATTTTTTTTCATTTCCTATTATTCACTTGAGCTAAAATTGAAGTGCAAGAAACAAGAAGTTTTTTAGTTTGTTGTGTTGGATTTGTAGAATGAATAACAACATAATGAATCTTTTTTCATTTTCTGATTTTGGATTCCCAATTGAATATGAAAAGAATGAATGATGCACGGATTCTCTTCAGTGTGGCCTTTTAACAGCTTTTATTTTCTTGCTTGTGTTTTTTTACTACATACTACATGAGCAGCAACAAAACAAGGCATATTCTATGTATATTTCACATAATGATCTGTCAACCTGTCAATTTTTAAAGCCATAGTGTGATTTTGTTTTGTGCAGAAACTACTTTATTGAGCACCTAAAAGAGTAGTTTTCTTTCCCACACACACACATACACACACAGATTTTTTTTCCTAATGTGTATATGATACGCAAAGAAATTCAAAGTTAATGAATTGGAGTTTATTTTACATCATTAATAAATAAATAGTTGGGGAGCCATGTTTTTATTTTAATTTACTTAAGATAATAAGGTCTCTCTCTCTCTCTGTCCCCCTCAGGTGTGGAGGCGGAGCCTCTGTCTGAAACAGCCCCTGTGGTTGTTCTGAAGCTCATCGAGGCCATCGAGAAACACGGTGAGAGAATACGAACATTAACACATGTGTAGCGAGCACATTCATTAAAGGAACAACATTAAACAGCCACTTGTGAAAAAGCATTGCTAATATTAACCTGGTTAACATGTACATAAACAGCAAAGTTTAAACAACAATTTATAGTTGTAGGACATACTACCTTAGGAGAAAAGCAGGTTAGATGTTTTCCACTGCTACCAGTCTTTATGCTAAGCTAAGCTAAGCTAACAACTTCCTGCCTCTGACCCCGTATGTAACGCACAGGTCTGAGATTGATATCCATCTTCTCATTTCACAGTTGGTAAGGGTTAAACATTATTTAAACAGCTTATTTAAAGGGAAATCAGCTTCCTCCCACACAGAAAAAATAAATAAATGTGTCATATTTCTTTCCTCTAAGGGCCGCAGGTGATGCATTTTATCAGCGGGACTGTATAAAAATGTAATTTAACTCAGCATCAATAATAGCAATAGTGATAGCAGACTTTACATCATGTATAAAGTATAATATATGTCAGTCAGTAGTAGCCTAAAGGAGAAACATTTTTTTTCAGGTTTTCACACACCATAACATTTTCTCATGCCGACTTCCTCTCTCTTCTTCTAATTTTGTTTTTACTGCAGGTTTGAACAGCGAGTCTCTGTATCAAGCTCCTCCAGTAGCCTCCAGTGGACCTGCAGAGCTGCAACAGGCTCTAGATTCAGGTACATACACTCCAAAATTCAATCAAATGTGATGATTTGCTGCATTTCTTTTCTCAAATCAAGATTTCGCTCATGGCTGTGGAAACTTGTGATGGGCTCAGTAAGTCCCTCTGAGCATCACTCGACACAGTTAACTGCTTTTTTTCTGGTTTCTCACACGGAGTCACGTTGAAGTCCTGTCACATTATTTGTAATACACAATCTGCTAGTTATCGTGCTGCTAGCCGTTGCTTGTTTTCACATATATCCAATCCAATAGGTTGCCCGAAGTGCTGTACATTGACAAGAATCAATAAATAAAAACCGGAAGGCTGGGGGGGCCAGTCTGACATGAAGAGGCAGTTCATAGGAGACTGGTTCGCGGACCTTATTGACCTTGCATGAGGAGCATGCGGCTTCGTTAGATCAGTGATATAGGCTGGAGCTAGTCCATGAAGGGCTTTAAAAAAAACACAATAGAATCTTAAAATCAATCCTACAGTTAACTGGGAGCCAGTGTAGGGAGGCAAGAACTGGGGTGATGTGATCTCGATTACAAGATCCAGTAAGGAGACGAGCGGCAGCATTTTGAACCAGTTGGAGACAAGAGAGGGAAGCCTGGCTGACACCTACAGACATGGTTAGAGGCACAATTAACGTCTTGTCATTTACATACAAATATAACTTATTTGACATCTTACAATGTTGATCAGATCCGACTGTAAATAAATGTACACATCTCACACCCAGAATACATGTACATGATGAGCATGAATTAGTCGTAAATTAGAAGTAGGGCAGGTCAAGGAAAGGGTTGAATGGAAAAGCCTTCCAGTAGGAGACAAAAGACAGAGCAGGTGGTGCAAATGAGAGAAAAAAAAGACCCTTTCAGACATGCACTTTGTTACATACAGTAAAAGTGTTTTACACGTTGGTTATGTCTGAATAAGCGCCCAAGTCACATTTATGAAAAGGTTGTGATAGTATTCTTACGAGGTTGGAGTAACAGTTCTATAATCATAAGTTCTTGTGCACAAAGAAAATAAAAATTGACAATTGATGCATACAGTGTGAAGATAAAAGTCACAGGTTCTTGTTGTTGCATAAAAGGCAGATTAAAACGTGAGTTAAGACAATATACAAGATTAATAAAAATGCCGTGTCTGACAAGCTTAACATTGATCTGTGGCAACTGCTGACAGTATCAGTATCCAGCCTGCGTTTTACATACAGCTGGTTAGAGGCACAATTAACGTCTTGTCACTTTTAACTGTGCTTGGATGCCATCGGGCCTCATAACATAGGCAGAATTCTATAATTGATCTAATGAATAAAAAATTTGATGAGAAAATGCATCGGGGGCATCCACCAATCACATGCAGGATGAGTGTCCCTCCCCCTCACCACGGTCATTTATTAACCCACACAGATTCATTCAGTCATTCAGTGGCAAAATAGGTTTCAAAATCCATCACTGACGCAGCCTCGGGGAGAACACTGTTCTTTCTTCATTTAAATAATATACCGCAATATATGACCTCTCCTTCTTATGTACCAGGTGCAGAATATTATGCAGTTATTGTGGCTCTGTCCTGTCATGTTTGATTAGAGACATAATGAACATTTCCACGTGAGATGAACAAACAAAACAAACAAAACCAGCAATGTTACAGATTCCAAGTCTGAAAAGTGTGAAACTTAAAGTAAGAAAAACGGGACTAATGTGACTAATTGGGACAACAAATTTTGGAAGTGGTCCAGTATTGAGTGAGTCGGCAGCAGCAAGACAGGGCTGCAACTAAGTCCTTGTGGGCAATTGTGCCCTGTCAGAATACGTCCTCTGAAGTGCATGTTTGTTTCATTTTACCTTTCTGATCTACTGATGCCTCGATTAGTTAGTTTGTGTTATTGTGTGACTTTGGTGTTTTTAGCCCATTAAAACACCAAAGTCACACAATAACACAAACTTACTAACCGACCGAGGCGGCGGTACACCAGCAACTTCTGTGTTCTGCATGGTAAAATGTTTTTATCAGTGGAGTCTGGTGGCGTTGACGAGAGTGATATTGTGATCTTACTCAAAGGTCTCGCTATGTAGGGATCCTTTCAACAATGTTGTCAGACACTTCATAATAACGATCTGAGCCTGTCAGTGGCAAAAACAAGCACTTTAGGGGATGTACTGACCGGGTACAACTGCCTGCAATGATTGCGGTACATATCTTTAAAGATGTGTAGTGGTGTGAAATATTTAAATTGTCTGCTGGCCCACAGCTACACCAACATATGTTGTGTTTTTTTTTTATACTTGCATTTAAAGGCAGCAACACTTACTCGTGCTGTGAGTCTTTGCACAGTAACATACTGTAGAAGCAACAAGTGGATCCTCACCAACAGCTCCCAAATCTGATCTCCTGCTCTCCTCTTTGTAATCAAACATAATCTAACTGCTGATACTGAACTGTGCTGTACAGGCTGAATGGAGATGAACTTAATCAAACAAAAAAGTTGGGTAAGTTTGAGTTGCTGAAGTTCAGGTTTGGCACCACCAGGGAGTGCTCTGACTCCGTACTTTATTTTGGGAGCTAGTTGGGGAACTCACAAAATCAGTCTCTTGACTCTACTCTGAGGAGGAGAGAAAAGAGGGAGGGAGGGAGGGAGGGAGGGAGGAAGGACAAAAACATGTATTATCACTTACGGTTTGATGCTAGTGATTAGAAAAAGGTTATACAGTGCAGATATTAAAGTGTCCTTACCTGTATGGTGTGACATTTACATGAAATATGATAGTTTGCTGTGTCATGGTGACTCATCTGCACATTAGGAATCAAGTAATGTTATTTGTGCTGGTGCTTTTCCTGCTGTGACAAATCTGTTGTCTGCATTTTTATTCTTGAATGCTGGTGGAGTCCATGACCACTTGAAAGATTAATCTATAGTTTTTGACTTTGAAGTTACTATTCTGTTTTTCAGGTAATTCATGAACAAATTAAGGCCACTTTCACACTTGTAGTTCAGTTCACTTGGTTTCTGACCAAGGAAAGATAAATATAGGCGTACGCACGAGCTGTTTTCTTACAGGTACGGTGTCCTGAGAATCAAGTCGGGACATTGTACGGAGTTGCCCTTTCACATGTGTAGCACACAACAGGACATTGTCTGTGTCAAATGCATTCTCACCTACTGGAAATTCTGTTTGATGTAGGCCTGGGTAGAGCGTGCAGGAGGCGCAAAAGCGCGCTGCAGAAGTGTTGTTTTACAGCACACTGAAGATAGCGGACGAAGCTAAAGACTCATTTGTAATGATGATGTGTTGAAAGAATGCTGCATATATTTGCACTAGGGTACTGGCTGGTGAAGGTCCATTTAATGTCCAGTTCAACTGATATGGGCACGTGTTCTCACATACATCTCGTCCAGGTAATTTCTGGAGAAGTTCAGGGTTGCAGTCCTTGTGTGAAAGACTCTATGCTGTCATACAGACGGACTCATTAATTGGGCAGTTTCGTTGGTGTGGTGGTCTTCTTCATTAATGTTGAATGGACCCCAAGGGGGAATCAAATTCTGACAGTAAGTCATGCAGCCTTGTACAGAAATTGTTTGTTCATTTATCCTAACATGTGATTTAGCACAATTACAGTACATCTTATACAGATTGCTTGAGAGAGAACTCCCTCATTTCCAGTGGATTTAATTGTAGGTTAGTTTTTGAATTAATGCAAAAAATATATCCAAATCTTAAAATCTGTGGTTGATTGTTTGCTTTTACACAACTAACGAACCATTGGGAAGCAGACTGAGGCCATCCGTTTCAGTTATTCTTGTTCACGCTGGGTATATGGTTAAATTTTAAGCTTTCACACCAGCCTAAATGAACCAAACAGTTTGCTTCTGAGAGCACCTGAGGAATAGATGGATCTTGGTCCCATGTTTGCAACTTTGCAATAATAGTATGAAGAATATCCTATACCAGCATACCACTTACAAACTACCACAAGCAGTGTGTCCTTGGTGAGGGCCCTGACAGAAATACATTTGCTTCCCATAGTTCTTTATAAATATTGATGATCCAGATCACCTTAAAGGGCATTTCTTTGGATCTAAAGTTATTTCAACAAACTTAGCCCCAGGTTTGTAACAGAGGTAAAAGACCAGGGGTCTCATTTATAAAACTGTGCGTAGAATCCTCACTAAAAGTGTATGTGCGCCCAAAAGCCAAAAATGGCGTACGGCCAAAAATATTCAGACTTATAAAACCGTGTGTACGCACACTTCTAACTAATGTTCCTTTTATAAATCACAATCAACTTGAAATGTGATGCATGTGAGGGAGCTCCATGTCCGACCCTTTAAGCGTCCATAGTTACCTCTAAATGGCCAGTGAAACAATTCATTAATATTAATTCCTCCTGACTGCGCGAAGAAAAGGAGGCAAATTCTGACAGAAAAGCTACAAAATTAAATTTAACTCAGTGTGACACTGACGTTCCTTTTGGTGAAGCTGAAGTTGTTTGGTGAGTAAAAAAACGCACTTTCACGCAACGCATGTGCACCGGAGGAAAGGGGGCCCCGGAGCACCGCCCCCTTATAACCGATCTGCAGGAAGGCAGCATCCCTCTTGATTAGTGACGTCACTGGGCGGAGGAGAACAAATGCATGCAAGACGGGATAACCCAGCTAATAATTTGGATTCCCCTGTTAGAAAAGAGTAAACCAAATGCATTCCACCTGTGTTGAAGCGTTTGTTTAGGCTACACAAACAGTCTACTCACTTAACGAGGATGCCAATGAGTTTAAAGAAATATGACTTGTTTTAAATGACAAAAAGATTTACTTGATAAAATAGTGTTGTATTTTCCTTAAGGTGATTTAACAAGCAGCGCATCACATCCACACACTGGCACACAGCGTCTGGCTCAATAAGGCAACGAACATCTGATAATAAAAGGCTACATGAAACTGTGCTCTATTTGCTTGACTGACGCATTGAAAACGGCATCAATTTAAATGTAATTTGTCCT